AGCATGCCATAGATAAACCAATTAGTGCAAGATACCACGACAGCAAATGACAGGAAGAAAGGCATGTACTCCACACTTTTGGTCCTAATTACTAGTCTCTGCACAAATTTATATTTTCATTAGTACTAAATTTTGAACTCAAGTTAATTAATACAAAAATACAATGAATTTTGTGATCTTCAATTGAAAGTGCGTATAATATATCAAAATGACATAATACATAAATACACCTTTTAATTTGATTTCAGCTGATATTTATGTCTTCTAACATTGAACAAGTAGACACATGTGTTCCACGTGGCATAATAAATGTATGATGCCACATACGACAAAAAATTGCCATGTAGGGTGAATGTGTCTATCTGTTCAATTTTATACAAGTTTAAGTTTCCACTTGTGCACATGACTGAAGTTAAACGGTCATAATTGTCAGCTGAAGTCAAGTTAAAGGTCATGTTTATGTATTATGCTTATCAAAATTCGTCAAATATTGTAACTATGAGTTAAGAGTGCTTACAATATTAGAGAGAGGAGATGCATACATGACGACGGTGATGATGGTAGCAGCCATACCACAGAAAAACCTCCTATTTTTTCCATGAAAAAACTTATGGAAATAACCGCTGCGGTAGCAAAAGCAATAAGGACTAACACAAATATTACTAAGATTTTTCTCTTTTGTTTATTGGGTCCATATAAGAGAAAAATAAACGCATATATTAATTCTATTGCAGCCCCAACTCCGTTGATTGTTGCTACCAGGATATTATTTGATGTTATAAATGGCAGACCATACCTACATTTGATTGCAATCATTAAATCAGTAACTTTATACCCTTAAATGAGCGAAAAATTTGAACGAAGTAGTGTGAGATGACACCCCTTGACATAGGGTGGATACACCCCTATTAATTACCATGCGGTAAGCAAGCAGTTTAGAAGTGTCATAACATAAGGTATGCCAGAGAATTGTTCCGTTGATTTGTTCTTGATGATCCTCTTGAACGTATGCCTAAATTCAATCAAACAAAATATATTAATATTAGAATTTTTGTAGTATTAGTGTGTATAAATTATAATCAAAATACTAATTTTCATTGAAATTAATATCTAATACTTAAAAAGAAAAAGAAACAGTTCCACTGATTATTAATAGTCAGGGATAGAATATTTGCGTAATAAAATTATGATGGAGCAAAGATAAATGGGCTAATAGTTCTCTTTATTTAATTAAGTTTGGTCATCATAAAATACAGAAAAAAAAAACATTTTAAACTTACAATATATGATTTATCTGAATTTGAAGTGTCAATTTCTAAGAAATATTGAACTAAATAAAATTTTTGATTTCAAAACGTTGTCATCTGAGTTAAAATGACAATATTATCCTTATCACTCCCACTTGACTATTTTCTTCTTCTACATAATTAAAGAAATGTTTTAATTTAAATATAAAGTTAAAGAAAGAAAGAGTACAATTGTAAAAAAAATGTTTTAATTTAGAAAATGTATAATTTTACTAATTTTTAATATAAAAAACATACATCCAAAGAAATAACTTATGTATAACTAAACTCCGCATAACTAAATACTGCATAGTTAATACTTGTATAACTAATACATGCAAAATTAATATCCACATTGCTAATACATGCATAGCTAATATATGCATAACTAATATGCATAACTTATACCCATATTACTAATACATGTATAACTCTATTCAGCTACCAAACAATCCTTTATTTCAATTTACTTAGAAGTACTTGCTTGACCCGTGAAATTCGAAAAGTGCCATATTTACATTATGCGAAGTGTGGTTGAGAACTTACATGGGTACCAAGAAGAGAAAGAGAGAAGCAGCATTTCCTGTTAATTAGCAGAAAAAAAGGAGCAAAATGAGAAGGAAAAGTCAACCAGAAATTAATTAAAAAAAATAAATAATAATTATAAAATGACATTAACTCACCAAAAATCCCAAAAACAAATTGTACCGTGTGTACTAGATCACCCATATTGTTGTGTTCTCTCCAAACTAAGAGGCAAAAGCTAATTAAAATTAAACTTGTTCAATATATAGAGAAGAAGAGTACTCTATGGGCACTTTTAATTAATACTAATGTTTTAATTAATTAAGATAAATAGGAGTAATTAAACCAAGAATATGAAGTGCTTAAAAGGGAAAATCTAACCAATAATTTTCAACGAAAAATCAAATAACCAAAATCTGAAATATGATTAGTTGATTACTATAAAAGTGAAGAAGAACAGTAAAGTGGAAGAAAAGTGAAGATGAATTTTTGTTATTTATAGAGAGATATATATAGGTGAATTCTAACAGACAAACATGGAAAATAAAACTAAGCAATTTTTTTCGGATCTAAACTAAACGGCTTAACTAAAAAAATAAGAATTCCTAAAATGTACTATTTAAATTTAACTAAAATTTTGATTCTTAAATCTTTCCTTACCTCACTCTATATATAATTAAAAGAAAATCAAAGCATTGACAACTTTTATGATAATTTTTAGTTTTAGCAAATTTGATCATCTTTTTAAAAGATTTTTTTTTAAAATTTAATTAAAAATAAAACTTAATTATATTTCCTAAATTTTTGGTGCTTCATACGTGTATGATGTGCCATATGCGGTTACTTTTTGGACATGAGTATGGTGCACTTTATACTCACAATTAGGAACTTAGATCTACATTATTTTCATAGCTCTTGATGCATTGTCACTCGAATTTGTAAGTTCGCTTCCGATTGAAGTTTGAGAATTAGCTGAATGCGAGACTGAAACTGTTAAACCTAATTAAGGCGGGACATATTGTTGTTCAAATCCAAAAAAAAAAACAATCAATTGATTTTTTTTACTTTTGGTTTTGATTTTTTTATTTGATCGATGGGTTTCGATTTTAAAACTTTGGATTTTAGGTTTTAGATTTGGTGTTTGACTATTTTATTTTGGTTAGACCGAAAAATAGAATTTGAATTCACTACACTTATACTTTACAATTAAGTTAGGTAAATAACACAAATTTCACTAATTTTGTATCTAATTATCTCCATTCCCTTCAATTTGTATAATTACAAATCTTATCATAATTTTTACATCGAATATATATATCTATCGCATTCAGATACATCTATCCACTGTACATGTTAGTTATATACATATTATTAAGTTTACTTTATTTAAGGTTGTAACTAACAACCATAAGTTAAAGGATAAAACCACACCTATAACAATTATAGAATATTTTGACGTATTACAACTTGAGTTTTTTTTTTAATTGTCAAAGTCATATCTTTATTCATTTCACAAGGCTTTAAGGACATTTTTTTTTTATCATTTTTCCATTTATTTAAAATTAAAGTAAAAAAAAAAAATAGCAAGTCAAAAAGTAAGAGAGAAAAAAATCAAGAAAAACTTAAAATGAAAAAAATATATATATTATATTACATTAATACTTGTCATGTAATAATTGGTATGTAATAATACTTGCTTTTTAAAATTTGAAATTGGTCGAAAACTTAATATAATAGTATTAGTTTAAAATTATTTAGGAGGATAATAAAACGTTAGGATAATTAAGATGTCTTTGTACAAATACGGGACAACTTCAAGAGTTGCATTATATTTTTGAGAAAAGACATAAAGTCACCACTGAAGTTATCCTGAATTTTCAAAAAGACACCTTAACTTTGCGGACGTCTTATTATCCCATAAAAGTATTGAATACCAAAATAAAGGGACCATTTTGACCTATTTTCTCACTATGTGTGTGAAACACGCAGATGACGCGTGTGAAAATCTATTTTTGTTGCCAAAAACCAATTAAAAGTACCATATTTTAATTTTTTTTAATTATCAATTATTTACTTTATTTAAATGCATCATCTTCCCCAAAATGATAACAAATTGGCTGGTGGCTGCACTTTTTGGTATAATCTTCTTTTGGAGATATGATACAGAAGCTCTTTGGGCTGCTTCTAAATCTGTTTTGAATTTTGGGCTCTCGACGAGTCGACGGTATTGAAGAGAATACTAAATCAAAGAGCGATCTGTTTAAACGATAAGATCAGATCCTGGAATGTCATCTTCTCATGCAAAGTCAATTTTTTATATAGTAACATTTTGTATTGTCTCAAGTAATTTTCTTAGCTAATTGGCCGGATGGAGAAAATATAATTTATTTGAATACTCTTTATCCTTAAAACTTTATCTGTCAATACACATTTTACATAAGAAAAGTTAACCTTCAACTCCTTGTTTACTCAATTAGTTCTCCAAGAATTTTGACCAAAAAAAGTTGAAATAGAAGCAAATAATCTTCAACAATCACTCTGATTGAAGAAAACGAAGAGACAAACTAATAAATGGAAAACAAAAGAAAGAAAGAGTTTTTTTTCTTTTTGAAACGATTTGGGTAGGGTTAATTTAAATTGAATTAATTAAAAGGGTAGCATCACGAGTGAACTCACAGGTGAGAAAATGGGTCAAAATGCTCTTTTCATAAAGGTATTCAATATTTTTATGGGGTAATAAAATACTCATAAAATTAAGGTGTTTTTTTCAAAAAAACTTCAATGATAATTTTATGTCTTTTTTCTATATTTTTTTTTCTCTTAATTTTAAAAAGTAAATACCTGATAGTTGGAAAGGCCCAATGGCTGTTGAGAGTCACGTGTTCACCTGCCAGCCAATCTTATTACCTAACTCCCCCAATAGTAAATAGACCCCCTTTACATTTTTGGTTTACTGGGTTCGAGAGTCAAATTCAAAATTTAAATTATATAATTTTATTAATATATTAGTATTAATTAATGATATTTTAAAAAGTTATTTATTCATATTTATGGTAACTTTTAGTAATTTTTATATATATTTATAAACTCTATATTAAAAATATTGAGTTCAAATAAATTCGATACGTCGCTTTAATTATGTCAAAGTGAGTAGTTGGATTCTTGAGTATTTAGATATATATACAGTACTCTTCAACTTTCAACTTAATTCACCACATTTGTGAGAGGATGGACGAGATAATAGGAGAAAAAAAGATGAAGATTCTTTGTTTGCATGGATTTAGAACTAGTGGAAATTTCTTAAAAAAACAATTAAGCAAATGGGATCCTTCTATTTTTGCTCATTTTGAAATGGTATGATGTTACATTTTTATATTTAATTAATTATATTTTCTTTGTTGATTATGTAACACATCAAAGTTAATTTTGAAATTATAAATGAATATATATTGGCAGGAATTCCCAGATGGAATATTTGCAGCAGGGGGGAAATCAGATATTGAGGGCATATTTCCACCACCATATTTTGAGTGGTTCCAGTATAATGAGGTAAATACGTGCCTTAACGCGTAGCTAAACAACAAAAATTTCATGCTAATTTCATTTAATTATGAATTAACAGCAATATTATATGAAGATTCGATAAACTAATAGCGTTTTAGCAACCAATTAGCAAAGAATTGCCGAGAAATTCCATATCTAATTCCACTGTCTTGTAAAAGTAATTTTGAAATCCTTTTGTTAATTCATTCTTGCCTATTTGGTTTCCCACCTGAAGTTCGGAGTTCGTATTAGACCCCTGACTAAATTCGAATGTAGCGCTCCCAACAGATTTTCTCCATATCCAGTCTCGAACCCGAGACCTGTGGTTAAGGGTGGAGCCATATGACAGTCACTTTTTTATCACTGAACCAGATTCACAAGTTTTTTTTTTTTGGTTTTCCACCTGATGTCCGGTACCCGGAGCCCGACTAAATCTGGATTCGCACCAGGAAGTGCCACATTGAGGGGTAAAGCGCTCCCTAACAAAGGTCACTCCGTACCCAAGGGAGCTCGAACTCGAAACCTCTTGGTTAAGGATGAAGAAGTACTTAATTACCATTCCACCACAACCCTTGTTGGTGATTCACAAGTTAATATACATATATTTATTTAATTTTCTAGTACAAATACAGGATCTAAACAAAAGCTACTAGGTTCGTCCAAATCCACAAACTTCCACCTAGCTCCTCCTTTGAATGGAGTAGTCACAACACTGCACCACAACACATTGGAGTAGTTTTTACTAACAATGATTTACCTGCTCTCAGGATTTTACAGAATATGAGAACTTAGAAGAATGCATTTCGTACTTGTGTGAGTATATAACAAGCAAAGGGCCTTTCGATGGTCTTCTCGGATTCTCCCAGGTTTGTTTACTTTTTACAGGAGATCTTAATTTTTACGTCTAATAAAAAAGTGGATGTTTGGTATTTGATTTGGGATTTTTAAATTTTGGGATCGGTAATTTGATAATTGATAGTTTAAAATAGAAGTCGAATATCAAATTTTTAAATTTTGGTTTAGTAATTCAACAATCGATAAATCAAACTTTAATTTGGTACGATTTTCAGTAATACCATATTGAAGTTATAGCCAATTGTATTACAAAGTTAGTACTATTGCTCCAATATTTTTATTTTTGATGTGGAGATATGGAGTAATAAAAGATCAACAAATAAGAAGACTTCAAGAAAAACAAATTGACACAACTAAAATACATATGTATTTTGAGTTGTTTATGTTTAATCTTTAACTTACTCTTTGAACTTGTACTAATTAATAATGAACCTATTGATATATGATCTTCATTAAGTAAATAATTTGATATTCTAAAAATACTGAATAACAAATTGTACTAATATCTCAAATCAAATCCAAACTTGAATATCGTAATTTTAAAATTATACTCACAAATATCAAATTAGGTGAAATTTTATTTTATTTTCTCGATCCCTTGGTGCAGGGAGCGACTTTATCAGGCCTTTTACTAGGGTACATGGAACAGGTAATTTTGCAATCACCTCAACTCTTAGCCAAAATTACTTCATAATTTCCAATATAATTTGGGAAATTTATATATTTTTATTTATACAGGGGAAGATTCTGAAAGAGCATCCACCAATGAAATTATTTGTATCAATATCAGGGGCCAAATTTAGGGACCCAAATATTTGTAACATTGCATACAAAGATATGATGAAGGTTAAATCAGTCCATTTTATTGGAGAGAAAGATTGGCTCAAACTTCCTTCACAAGAGCTTACAACAGCTTTTGAAAATCCTCTCATCATAAGGCATCCTCAAGGACACACTGTGCCAAGACTAGGCAAGTGAATTTACAAATTTATCTAGTCTTTTATTTGTTGAAACTTTTAGAAGTTGATATGAAGTATTTGGACATTGAGAAAACTAAAGAAAATAGTTGAATAGTTCCATCGAACGAAAAGGGGATGGGAGATCTTTTTATATGATTTTTGGGCAATCTTTTCTCTTGAGTAAATTTTTTGGTTAATTCTATCTCAAGATTTATGCGCTACGCTCTGGATGTCTAGCCTTAGACATGAACTAAGGTGTTAATTAAGAGTCACACAATTCATTTGATTACTAGCAAGGAACTAAAAATTGACAAGAGTAGATTGTTTAGATGGTACGCACCATCTACCTCCAATTCCGAGGTTAGGAATTTCAGTCACCAAAAAAGTAAAAAAGGTGAAAACTCGTAGGAAGGGGTAAAAAAAATAAAAAATTAATAGGATTAAAATATCTTTCTATCTGTTTTTTTTAAAAAGTGAGTATAATTAATGTTACAGTTTGATACAAAACAGATGAAGAAGCTATGGAGACATTAAAAACTTGGACAAGGGAAATTGACTTCTATTCCAATGAGAGTTGTGTTGGTGGAGGACCAAATGAAGCCTGCAAACATGTTAACATTGAAAATGGTGTGGAAGAAGGCAAAAAACTAGAGATGCCTAATGAAGTAGAGATCCAAAAGGCTCAAGAATAATAGTTCTCAAATTGTCAAAAACTCTTCTCTAGCTATTATCTTCTATTTTTACATTACAAATTGTCAAGTACTCCTCTCAAGTTAGTTTAAAATAAATATATTATGCATGTAGAGACGACTTAACATAGTATGCAACTATTTCTATCTATTTAATTTCCTATCAATTCTCTAATTAATTTTATTTTAATTAGTGTGCAATGTGTTTTTTCCCTACTAGTTTTTATTTAATAAAAATCTATGGTAGATCATCACAAGTAGCCCGTCTAGCTCAGTTGGTAGAGCGCAAGGCTCTTAACCTTGTGGTCGTGGGTTCGAGCCCCACGGTGGGCGTTTAACTATTATTTTGCTTTACATATTTGGCCCTTTACTAAAATTAGATGTTTTGATTTACTTTTTTTCATTTTTTTTCCCGCATACTATAGTGGTCAAAATCAGATTTAAAAGACATCATTTTTTTGTCCCATATATAGAAACGTGGTGGGATTTGATGTTTATTACGTCTTGAGATAGCTAAATATATAGCTTCAAGTTAAATTTAGCTAGCAAAAGTCAACAAGAACAAAAAACTGGACTTCTTCAAGCACAAATTCAGATGATCATCTTTAAAGTATTGAATTATATATCTAGCGAGCATACTTAACCTGAAATATTTCAATCTTTACATGTGATTGGGGTCACGTGGATCTTTTATTTTTATTTTAAATTTTCATATAGAAAGGTAAATTTTTAACAAGTTGGATATATGAAAGCACTTAAATCATATCAATGAATAAATGCATAGTAATTTCCTTGATCAATTTACAACAACAAATTAAAAAAACTACATATTTTTTTTCAACTTTTTAAAATTTTACCTGAATATGTAAAGCAGAAGATTATGCTTTTGATGCTCTTACAATACTATCTGCGCACATCAAAATGCCAATAGAATAGATCTAAAGAAACTGTTTCTCAACAAAAATCATCAAGTTTTGAGCTGCCATGAACTTGGTCCTCCGTTTTAACTTGTCTAGACTAGCACATATGGACATTCATGTATTGACCATTAAAAATAGGATTGCTTCTCATCATGGTAAATACAACTTAACGTCATTGTTATTGTTAATTTCGTAATCTGAGCCACATCAATGGCAGAAATCTTTCAAGTAACTCAGAGAAGAGAAAGGAAACCAAATTGTTTCATTCAGTGTAAAAATTGTGAATCAATGCAAGCTTAGTATTTATACTAGAGTTCCTATACAATTATATCCAGCTCATCATTTTGTTAGTTACAGATCCTAACAGAATTTAATCATCTAACTAACACTACTAGCTAACTACCTCATCAGTTAACTAATTCCAATACTCCCCCTCAAGCTGGATGCTGTAACAAATTAAGCATTCCAAGCTTGTGTAGCAGGTATGCATGTTGACTTCTGCCAAGTCCCTTTGTTAGCACATCTGCCTCTTGATCTTTGGTTCCAATATGATGAGTTCGTATCTTCCCTTCTTTAATCTTGTCCCTCACAAAATGACAATCTATCTCTATATGTTTGGTCCTTTCATGAAAGATGGGGTTAGCTGCAATCTGCAAAGCAGCCTTACTATCACAATACACACTGACTGGTTTCTTTACTCGAACTCCCAATTCATCAAACAACCCCAATAACCAAACCACTTCAGAAGTTGCAGTAGCTAAGCTTCGATATTCTGCTTCTGCAGAACTTCTGGAAACAGTATGCTGTTTCTTTGATTTCCAGGATATCAAAGACTGTCCAAACTTAATAAAGAAGCCTGTGACTGACCTTCTTGTATTTGGACATGCAGCCCAGTCTGCATCACAAAAGCAACTCAATGAATCATCTGCATTACTGCTCAACAAGATCCCTAAACCTGGTTCCTGTTTTATGTACTTGACCACTCTTAAGGCTGCATCCCAATGTGACTTTTTTGGTGTTTGCATATATTGGCTAAGAGTTTGTACAGCAAAGCTTATATCTGGCCTGGTTATAGTCAAATACAATAGCTTTCCAATTAATCTTTGATATTCTGTTACATTTGTCAACAATTCATCACCCTTACTTCCAGTGCATTCATCATGCTCTACTGAAGTGAATTTCTGGTTCACATCTATGGGGGTATTTACTGGTTTTGAACCTCCTAATCCCAACTTTGATATAACTTCAAGAGCATATTTCCTTTGGTTTAGCATGATCCTTTGCTTGGATCTCAAAATCTCTATGCCAAGAAAAAATTTCAGTTCTCCCAGGTCTTTGACTTTGAAACTTCTGTGTAGAACCTCTTTAGTTTCATGTATGACAGCATCACTGCTACCTGTGATCATCATGTCATCTACATAAACCAGTATAATTACTATGTCACTGCCCATCCTTTTAGTGAACATAGAGTAATCATATTTACTTTGGCAATATCCTGCATCTACTAGAGCTTCTGTCAATTTGATGTTCCACTGCCTTGAAGCTTGTTTCAGCCCATATAGAGACTTGTTCAGCTTGCATACCTTTTTTTTCCCTGTCTCTCAAAGCCTTGTGGGAGTGCCATATAGACTTCTTCATCTAGATCTCCTTGCAAGAAGGCATTATACACATCCATTTGACATATGTTCCACCCCCTAGATGCTGCCAGTGCTATAATGGACCTAACTGTAACCATTTTAGTTACAGGGGAGAAGGTCTCATGATAGTCAAGTCCCTCCTTTTGACTATATCCTTTTGCCACTAGTCTGGCTTTGTATCTCTCTATCTTACCATTTGCATGGTATTTTATCTTGTAAACCCATTTAGACCCAATGGCATGTTTACCTTTTGGAAGGTCAACTATATTCCATGTCTTGTTGTCTTCTAAAGCTTTGACTTCTTGTTTCATTGCCTCCACCCACTTGCTATCCTTAGATGCTTCTTGAAAGCTATGTGGTTCAACTATTTCTGAAAAACTGGCCAATATTCTTCTGCATTTTGTAGATAACTTGTGATAGGACACATAGTTGGATATAGGATATAACGATGTGCACTTTCCTTTTGAAGTTACATAGTCCTCATGCCACAATGGTGGTTTAGGGATTCTTCCAGATCTTCTTGGAGCTGTTTGTGTGTCTTCATGATGAGGTTCAACATCCACATATTCAGCTCTTTCATTTCTCACATTTTGATCTCCATGTGCATCTGCATGCTCTACACAATCTTTAGCACCAGTACCATTTCTCACAGTACTATCAGGATTTTCAGCTTCATGTGTATCTGCAGACTCCACACAACCTTCAACAGCATCTGCAGACTCTACACAACCTTCAGCAGCAGCACCATTTTGCACAATACTTTCATGATTATGATCTAGTATCTCATGATCTGTCAGTGGTGAAATATTATCCTCCCTATCATGAGATGGGGAACATACCAAACGACTGCCAGAAGAAAAAGTAAAAGGAAACAAATGTTCCTTAAAAATAACATCCCTACTCACAAAAAACTGCATAGTCGCACAATCAAGCAGCTTATAACCCTTTTGAGTAGAAGAATACCCCAACAAGATGACAGGTTTGGCCCTGACACCAAATTTATCAGACTTCACCAAGTTGGTGGCATAACCAAGACAACCAAAAACTCTCAAATGAGTGATGGAAGGGACTTTATGATAAAGTAATTCATAAGGAGAGTGACCCTGCAGTACATCAGAGGGAAGCCTGTTTAAGAGATATACAGCACCATGAATACATTCACCCCAATATCTAGCAGGAATGTTGGCCTGAAATTTGAGTGCCCTGGCCACATTCAAAATATGTCGATGTTTCCTCTCAACAATGCCATTTTGTTGGGGAGTGTAAACACAACTACTTTGATGAACAATACCATAAGCATCAAAAAGGGTAGAACACTGTTTGTTAAAAAATTCAGTGCCATTGTCTGATCTAATAGTCTTCAAAACAGCATTAAACTGAGTCTTTATTAGGCACAAAAAAGACTTTAATACAGTGATTACCTCACTTTTCATTTGCAATAGATAGACCCAAGTGTATCTAGTGTGGTCATCAACAATAGTAAGAAAAAAATGCTTCCTATCATGAGTAGGGGTTCTATAGGGACCCCAGACATCAAGATGAATCAACTCCAATGGTTTAGCACTTCTAGATACACTATGAGGAAAAACTAGTCTACTCTGTTTAGCTAGAGGGCAAATAGGACAATCTGCAGTTGCAGCAATATCTGAGGAATTCTTGTGAACTAAACCAAGCTTGTGCATAGCATGTAAAGAAGGATGACCTAGTCTTTGATGCCACAACTCAGTAGCTCTTGACTGGTCTACTGACAATGATGGTCTTAGTGCACCATTAATGAAACATGTATCCTTGAAAATTTGCTTGACAATGTAAAGACCTCCCACTTCTTTACCAATCCCCCTCACCCTGCCATTGTAAAGATCCTGAAAAATGCAAAAATCAGGAAAGAATGTGACAGAGCAAGAAAGGCTCTTGGTTAATTTGGAGACTGAAATCAAGTTATACTTGAAATCTGGTACATGTAATACATTATCCACTCTCAAATCTGCTAAAAAATCTGCAGAACCTATGTGAGTTATATCAACAATCCCTCCATTTGACATATGAACCTGCTCATTACTAGATCGGGAAAGTTCAACTACATCTTGCAACATATGGATTGAAGATGCTATATGATGAGTAGCTCCGGAATCTATGATCCAAGTTGGAGATCCAAATTCAGTTAGCAAAGAAGTAACAGTACCTGCTAAATTGATGAGATGATCAGAAAAATGATCATTTCTCTCATTCAAGAGCTCTTGCATCTGTCTGTACTGCTCATCAGAGAACTTAGGTCCAGTCCTCCCATATGATTGCTGGAGATACTTGTATTGGTCATCTACAGATGCACCCTTACTAGACCCTGTATATTCATCAACCTCAGATCTTCGATGATCATTCGTAACATTGTTAGCTGAGAAATTACGTTGCTTATCAAAACGCGGATTAAATGGCTTCTTATCAAATTGTTGGGGGTAAGGTTTTTTATCAGCATTTGGAGGATATTGCTTCTTCCTAACTTCATCAGTGGAGCTCTTCTTTGAGTCATCAGACTGACCAGGACGCCCTACCAACCAATAACAATCACCTTGAACATGACCACCTTTACCACAATAATCACATCTGATAAATGGTTTTTTTCCTTTATAGGCAGGATTTCTACTGAACTGCATAGCCAGTGGTTCTCCCTTACCTGGTAACGCTGGGAATGGACTAGATCTCTGACTCTCATCTTCACTAAGCATGACATAAGCTTGGTTTAAGGAAGGCTCTATGGTTTTCAACAACAATTGACGACGTACCTGTTCATACGATTCATTCAAACCGCTAAGAAATTGAAGTAGCCTTTGCCTCTGCAAATGCTCCATGTATTCCCTCGATTTTACACAATCACATCCAGGTGTAGGAACTAAAGCATCGTACTCAGCCCAGAGCTCCCTCAATTTGGTGAAATATACAGCAATAGAATCAGTTCCCTGCGATAGTGTAGCAATTTCCCTGTGCAATTGAAAAATCCGAACTCTGTTCACTTTATCAAATCGCTCTCTGAGGTCTTCCCAGACGAGATGTGAATTAGATGAATACACAATTCCACTGAGGAGAGAAGGAGAGACGGTGTTCATGATCCATGATAATACGATTGCATTGCAGGTTTCCCAATCTTCATGCAATTCATCACTGAATTGATCCTTCCGGCAAGTGCCTGTAACAAAACCTAATTTTCGTTTAGCTTGCAACGCAATTGTCATGGAGCGTCGCCATAAACCATAGTTTTCCGATCCCGTCAATTTCGTCGGAATAAGCACCGATCCAGGGGTATCGGAGGGATGAACATACAATGGATGTGTATTTGTGATTTTCTCAGCGACTGATTGAGATTGCTGATCAGCGACGACTGTTTCTGATCGTGACTCCGGCATTGTTGAAGAACACGATCAAGCTGATCAAAGATGAAATACGATCCCAGTTACGATTGCTCTGATACCATGTTAATTTCGTAATCTGAGCCACATCAATGGCAGAAATCTTTCAAGTAACTCAGAGAAGAGAAAGGAAATCAAATTGTTTCATTCAGTGTAAAAATTGTGAATCAATGCAAGCTTAGTATTTATACTAGAGTTCCTATACAATTATATCCAGCTCATCATTTTGTTAGTTACAGATCCTAACAGAATTTAATCATCTAACTAACACTACTAGCTAACTACCTCATCAGTTAACTAATTCCAATAGTTATGACCGTTGTCCATATTCTGCTGCGACTCTTCAACAGCAAATGTCTTCTTGTTTAAAATTTTCTTGTCACAATAACAGAAATATAAAATCAATTGCACTATTCCTAAAGTCAAGCCAACACCTGTTGAAATCTGCATAACAACAAAATTCACTAATTAATACTACTAGTAATTCATACAACATGTGAAAATTCTTTTTGATATGAGTGACAGTTAGTTTCAATCTCAGGATCTTTGTCTGCTCTGACTCATCTAAAAGTATACTTTTATTACTGATTTAATTATATTCTCAACAGTAGGAGAGATGTACTTACGCCAATATATGGGTCCATTCCTAGTATGGCATAGATAAACCAGCTAGTGCAAGATAGGATAGCGGCAAATGATAAGAGAAATGGCATGTACTCCACGCTTTTGGTCGTGATCACTAGTCTCTGAATAAAAATATATTCAATTCGTTGTAAAGGAATGATTATAAGAAGGAGTATTTGAGAGTGCTTACAATAATAGACAGAGGAGCTGCATACATAACGATGGAGAAAACTGTGGAAGCAATACCACAAAAGAGCTCTCTAATTTTTCCATGAAAAACAAGCACTGAGATAACCGCAGCTGCAGCAAAAGCAACAAGGACTAATACAAATATTGCTAAGATTTTTCTCTTTTGCTTATTGGGTGCATATAATAAAAAGATAAGCACATATATTAACTCAATTGTAGCTCCAGTCCCGTTGATTGTTGTAACCAGAATATTGTTTGATGTTATAAATGGCAGACCATACCTGCTCATTCATTCATTCAATAACTTTATTAGAAAATAATAATTACAAAGGAAAATTCTAAAGTGACAAAATTAGCATATGAAAATATAATTCATTTAAATTTGAAAGATTGATCCACCTATTTATTAGCTCAGCCAATTTCAATGCATCAAAATTTGAAATTTGCTACATGGGTATAGATAGTTACCATGCAGTAAGCAAGCAGTTCAAAAATGCCATAACATAAGGTATTCCAGAGAATCGTTCTGTCGATTTGTTCTTGATGATCCTCTTGAATGTATACCTAAATTCAATTAAACAAAATATATTTATAATTAAAATTATTTATATTACTAATGTGTATAAATTATAATAGAAATAGTGATCGTGTTGTTCAGAATTATACTTACGTGGGTACTAAAAAGAGAAAGAGAGAAGCAACATTTCCTGTTAATTATCAGAAAAAAAGAGAAGCAAATGAGAAGAAAAACTCAACCAAAAATTAATTAATTAAAGAGAAAAATATACAAAGCAAATAAAATATGGAAATGAATTCATTAAAGTGAAATAAACTCACCAAGAATCCCAAAAACAAATTGTACAGTGTGTACAAGACCGCTCATATTGTTGTGTTCCCTACAAGCTATGAGCAAGTTAGTTTTTCAGTTCAAAAACTTGTTCAATATAAAGAGGAGATGAGTAATAGTAATATTCTAAGAGGTCACATATTCTAATAGTAATGTTTTAATAAAAATAAATAGGAGTAATTAAACCAAGAATATGGAGTACTTAAAAAGGGTAAACTCACCAATAATTATTCATAACTATAGAGGAAGATTGCATGGCTTATTATAAAGATGTCATCATTATCATACATGACTAAAAAAGTAAAAGGCATGATATATAAGCATGTTTTTTAACTTTGTCATATTTATATTCTTCAATTTTGGATTTGTATAAGTAAACACTTAAATTTGTATAGAGTTGAACAAATAGACATACACATCCTACTTGTCATTTGAGGTGGCAATTCATATCCTACAAAACATCTAGCGTGGCCTACTACTTGTATTATGTCACGTCGGACGCGTGTGCCTACTTATTCAACTTTATACCAGCTTAAATATTTTTTTTGTGCATATCCAAAATTGAAAAGCATAAGACCAAATTAAATGACATATTTATGTATCAAGTCAATTTCAAAAGCAAATAACCTAAGTAAAGAAGGGAAGTTCATGTAAATGGAAATGATGAGTTTAAAACAGAGAATGAAGAAGAATGGTGATTTGATTTTGACATGATGTTCTTGGAAGAATAGCCTAATAGGTACACGGTGATAGATAAGTTTGTTGAATTACAGATGACAGAATTGGTGCATTGCTATTGGCCAGTTTAATAGTTAGTTGGAGTTTGTTAGGAAGTTACAACTCAGCTTGAATGGTCACGTGGTTTGCACTTCTGTTAGTTACAATAACTATGATCCTCTATATATAGAGGTATCTATGTAAAATGTTAAGCAAGAAAAAGATGTGAGATTCATTCCAATTTTCATATCACAAATGTAATGCAAGATGTTTCAATAAAATACAATTTTACTTTCTTTTTCCCGTAGATTTCACAAATTCTTTATGGTATCAGAGCACTGATCGAAGGGCTATTGGAAGCTGTAATCGTCGATCATTGCAGCAACAATAATAATGAAACCACAGAGTTCAGATACAGAAGATAATCCGCAGACAAACCATAATCATCCACTTCATCTTCAAACCTCAGATACTTTTGGCGTTGCCTTGATTCCTATGAAGCTCACAAAGCCAGAGAACTATGGTGTTTGGAGTAGATCCATGCGATTGGCACTTCTAGTAAAAAACAAACTGGGATTTGTTGATGGTATATGTGCTAAAAGCTCATACAAAGGAGATTTGGCAATTTGATGGGAGAGGTGTGATGCAGTTGTATTATCATGGATTAGTGCAGATGTAGCACCAGAACTGATGACAAGCATTGTATATGCTTCTAGTTCAAAGAGAATATGAAGTGATTTCAAGGAGAGATTTGATAAATCAAATTTGACTAGGATTTTTCATTTGTGGAAGGAGATCAGTGTATTGACTCAAGGAACAGAGACTGTGACCTCTTATTACTCAAGGATGAGAGATTTGTGGGATAAGATAGATGTAATGGTACCTTCTCAATCGTGTGATTGTGAAGAGTCAAGCTCACATGTTGAACATGTCAAACAACAAAGACTGTTGCAATTTTTGGTTGGGCTGAATGAAAGTTATGCACAGATGAGGAGTTCTATCTTACTCAGTCCTTCTGTTCCCAGTGTAAACCAAGCCTATGCAATGGCAATTCAGGAAGAGATTCAAAGGAAGCTAGGACAGGCAGAAGGAGGAAAGGAACTTTTCACAATGATGAAAGGAAAAGGCAATCAGTCATATAATTACAACAATCAGAATCAAATCAACAACAACAAATTTCAAGCTAAGAAGACACAGGGCCAGACTTCACAAGGCAGGAGATTGGGATTGGTATGTGATCATTGTGGGTATAAAGGTCACACTAAAGACAATTGTTATAGAATTGTGGAATTTCATGCTGATTTAAAGAGTAAAAGAAAGATGTCTGTGAATAAGGCCTATGCAAATACCTCTACTTCTCTGGAATCAGACAAGACTGAAGCTGAAGCACCTAGATCTGGATCATTGTCCCAAATCTATTTCCCAGGAGGTTATTTCACAAAGGACCAATATGAGCAGGTTGCCAAGATGATGGAGTCTCTTTCATCATCAGGAACCTGTAGGGCCAATGCAACAACATGTATGAATCATTTGCATGTAAGTGCTAATGGTCATACAGTAAAGTGGATTGTTGATTCCGAAGCCACACATCATATTACATACTGTGAGAATCTGCTAAGTGATTGTAGAAAATTATCAGAATCCAGTTGTAATAAGGTACATGTACCAACAAGAAGTAAAATTCATGTAGAACATGTTGGCAATGATGTGATTTTAGAGAATTACAGGTTGTAAAATGTTTTACATGTCCCAGACTTCAGGTTTAACTTATTGTCAGTCTTCAAGCTGACTAAAGACCCGAAATGCATGGTGTCATTTTATCCTGATTTATGTGTAATGCAGGCTCTCTCTACTGGAGAGGTGATTGGGATTGGTAAAGATGAGGAATACTTATACATCATAAGACATGATGTCATACCTATTGTTGGAGCAGTGCTAAAAAACAACTGCTTAGTAGACCATAGACTTTGGCACCTTAGACTAGGACATCCTTCCTTGAAAGTAATGCAACACCTTCCTATGTTGCAGAATAAAGTTGATGAGGCAGTGCAAGAAGACTGCATGATTTGTCCTTTGGCAAAGCAATGTAGGCTTAAATTTCCATCTAGTGTTACTCAAACTTTAAAAATGTTTGAGCTAGTGCATTTAGATATTTGGGGACCTCATAAGTGTTATGACCCTCCTGGTCATTTCTGTGTCTTGCCTTTTATGTGTTGTTTAGAGTGTTCCTATAGCGACCCCAAGTCATTTATGACTTGCTGGGACTGACAATTCGATCACCTGGTCGTTCGTTTAGTTATGGTGCGAATTTTAGTGTTTTGGAGCTTATAATTTTTAACGATCATTTTCTATCAAAATTTCAAAAAGATGACATTGTAATTCAATTCTGACGATTCCATTAGCTCCAAAATGTCAAGTTTTCTTTAGATTGGCCCTTTTTTTGTGTCCCGAGATTTCCGATATTTTTTCGAGCCCTTTTGTGGATTTTGACTTAAAATGACATTTGGGTGTGGGACCCACTTTTTGTCAAGATGACCTCGTATGGAAATTTTGACTGTGCTATTGAATCCGAAATATTGAATATGGTATGGTTACATATCTCGTTTGCATGCACGGGGTTCCGAACAAGTTCGGAGCACCCCGTCGAAGTTTTTAAGTTTTAGGGAAAGTGTAGAAAAATCTGTACTTTTGAAAAACCTTAAAAACCTCATCTCTCAATCGAATTAGGCGATTCAAAATGCGGGAGCTTCGTATTTTCGGTGGCTTCGTTGCACAGTGTTCGAAAGTTGTCGGGTGCACCTAGTTCGAGGTAAATTTTACTATAAACCTGACTATTGTACCCTTTTTCGAGCTTTTATTTTTGGCATCCTTGTTTTGGTCATATCTTACTCATTTTAGCTCAATTTTGGGTGATTCGAAGACCCACGTGTTGGGAATTATCGTGGCTACGTCATGGAATGTTCAAGGAGTGTTGGGCACCATTGGATTTTTGTAAATTTCAAGTTTAGACTGCTGCTTGTTTTCTTTTAAGTTGATTAAAGTGTGATTTTCTTACGTGTTGGGTTTTGCTGTGTTTTGTACCCCCGAATTGTGTTCCATTTCGGAACACAAGTTCGGGATACTATTTAGGGTCTCTTGACAGAATCAAATTCGGACAGTTCGGTGTGGGTTCCACGATTCCCATTTTGACTCCAAAATTGACCTGTCTCCGTTTGTTGTAATTTTGGTGTCTAAACGACCATAATAATGTTGTGAGTCTATTTTTGGTAGTGTGGCAGCGTTTCGAAGCCATTCGAAAAGAAAATGCTCCGGATGAGTGATTTTAGAGCGCACGTGATCGGCCTACAGGTAGGCTACGACTTCCCTCTCTTAGATTGAGCTCGAGAGTGTGAATGCATGTTGATTAGTTGGGATTTGGATTGATAGTCATTGAATCATGCATTGGTGTTTAGAAATCATGTTTCGGCCTCTTTCGGGAATTATCGGGTAACTGTGAGCATGCTATATGTTACTAATTGACCTTCCTTGCTATGTGGAGTGCTTGAATGCTTGATTACTGTTTATCTGAAGAATGTTGGGCCTTAGTTTAGGTTTGACTAGGGCTTGCCTTAGAAATACATGATTCGGATCCGATAGACATTAGTTTTGCCCCGACGTTGCTCGGCCAACTTTGATCTCTGTAAACTGGTGTAACAGACTTGAGTCTGATAGTTTGGGCCTTAGGCGATACACTTGCTCCGACGATAGCCATCCTTATTTTCCCCGATGTTACGGCTTCACGAGTTACGTCGACGACACTAGTTCTGCTTCGCTATTTGAATTTGATTTTTGATTCAGTTCCAAGGACTTACATTGATTGGCTAAGTGTGAACGATGTTCCACAGACATTTATGAGCATGTATCAATTGAGACACTTTCAGCAGCTACATTAACACATTTATAGAGCATCCGGTTTAAGGTCCGACCTCTATCGCCCAGATACTTATATAGAATAGAGTTGTCAAAATGAACTTGTCCAACCCTAACGGGCAAGAGATTTAAATGGGTTGGGACGGGCTAACCCTTTTAATTAAAGGGCCGATAAAATAGCAGCCCAACCCAGCTCTAAGCGGGCGATAGGTTAGGACGGGTTGGCCCTTCAACCAAAAAACTGACAATATTTTCCTCTTAGAAAGGATACGAACGTTGATCTTCGATGGACACGACATCAATACATACATAAATTCATTCATGAATTACACATACTTCATTGAATATTTACAAAACAAATACATAATAGCCAAGAATCAAGATACAACATTCATAAGATTCATCTGAGT